TTCAGTCAATTATATTTTGTTGATTCAAAAAAAGTGACTTTCTATTGCACAAAAAGTATCTAGATTCATGTACACAAACACACTGTTTACTATAAATTGATCAAATATACACCCCAGACAATAAAACCTCCCCAATCTGACTGGCTGACAAGTATCCATTACATATATTTGTAATAACCAGTACACATAGCAGAGAAAGCAAGCAGAGTCTGCCCGTGTGTTACAGTGACAGATGATGCGTATCTGCTCTAGGAAGGAGCTCAAAAATATAATGCTGCTATCAAAGCAATACTTTTCTCAATGGCTGTACTTTGAATTGCATTTGAGTCAGGAAAATAGTTTAAATCCGTTCTTATACATGTGTTTAAACATGTATTTCATGGTAAGAATTTTAAATTCCTGCCACCGGACTAGAGTTCTGGATCCTAACATGCCAAAAAGTTACAGACCACTGCCTCTGGTTCAAAAGAAAGAAGACCAAACAGCAAACAAAAAAGATCAGGGGTGAACTGCAAGAGGAGGAGATGATGCAAGACCACAGCCATCCTCAATCCACCATGAACAGAATGACACAACTAGAAAAGCATTGTGTAGAGCGTAGAGAGGATTTGAGACTTCATTATACACAAACTATATATCTATTGAGCTTCGTTTTTTCTTTAAAGTGGCACTGGCAGGAGGACATGATAGTGTGAAACTAAATTGCTCATCCCCAACCTCAGACAGAGACAGCTCAAAGCAACAATTTAAATCTAAGCGAGGGAGACAACCAAAACAAGACTGTCATGGATCAGTCTGTCAGCGTGGCAGCACCAAAGCATCCCATCCCCCCAGTGACTGAGTCAGATTTACTTTGTACTGTTACTTTGATTAAGCATTGAAACACAAAATTAGCCATCCAATTCATTATTCATGTTTGCCTTCCACAGATAGCGTAAGGTGCTGTGCCTTGGTGTTTTTGTGGAGCACGTTAAGCCAACTGGATGTAAATAGGCATTAGACAGCAGTGGACACTCTATGTGCTGAAAAATTAAGAGTTGGATTGATGTCAAACTAAATAATAATATAGATTGATGACAATGTGCCCATACACATTATACACTTGTTGGTACTAGTAGCCTGTAAATAATAGGGGAGAATATATAATGGCATCCAGCGTTCTGAAAGCCATATTCCCTTTCTTACAGACAACTAAAGCAGCTGACAGATAGAGCAACTCTACAGCTTAAATGTGCATTACAATCTCCTGGTTAAACAATTATCACAAACAATGAGAAACTGCAGGAAAAAAGATTCTGTGTTGTCAACCGCACAGGTGTGCATTAAGTCAACTCTCAAGAGGCACTGCAGTAAGAAGCAACTCGTCAACAATCTTAAAAGCAGTTTCTCTGCTGCTTTCATGAATTATATAATAAATCAATGAGATTTGATACTATGATA